GACAGTGTATGTGCAGCTGTATGTACATAGAGTGTGCCTGTATGTACACACACAGTGTCAGCAGAGAGACACACACACATGTATGTGCAGCTGTATGTACATAGAGTGTGCCTGTACGTACACACACAGATACACACACACACACGTACAGAGAGTGTGCCTGTACATACACACAGCTTGTCAGCACAGAGCTACACACGCACATGTATGTGCAGCTGTATGTACATAGAGTGTGCCTGTATGTACACACACAGATACATACACATATGTACAGAGAGTGTGCCTGTACATACACACAGCTTGTCAGCACAGAGCTACACACGCACATGTATGTGCAGCTGTATGTACATAGAGTGTGCCTGTATGTACACACACAGTGTCAGCAGAGAGACACACACACATGTATGTGCAGCTGTATGTACATAGAGTGTGCCTGTACGTACACACACAGATACACACACACACACGTACAGAGAGCGTGCCTGTACATACACACAGCTTGTCAGCACAGAGCTACACACGCACATATATGTGCAGCTGCATGTACATAGTGTGCCTGTATGTACACACACAGATACACACACACACACACACGTACAGAGAGTGTGCCTGTACATACACACAGCTTGTCAGCACAGAGCTACACACGCACATGTATGTGCAGCTGTATGTACATAGAGTGTGCCTGTATGTACACACACAGTGTCAGCAGACACACGCACATGTATGTGCAGCTGTATGTACATAGAGTGTGCCTGTACATACACACACAGTGTCAGCAGAGAGACACACACACACACACACATGTATGTGCAGCTGTATGCACAGAGAGCGTGCCTGTACGTACACACACAGTGTCAGCACAGAGCTACACACACACGTACAGCTATACACACAGAGAGCACACCTGTATGTACACCCAGAGCTGTACATACACACACGCATGTACACCTCTACGCAGAGACCATATTTGTATGTACACACAGAGCTGTACATACACACCCACAAACACACACAGAGCTACACACATGTTACAACTAGATACACACAGAGCACATTTATATGTAGCGTGCCAGTACACACAGATCTACACACATACACACGTACACCTACATCCAGCCATAAACACGAGCACAGCTATATGTAGTTGTACATACACACATAGAGCATGTTTATACATACAGAGCACCAGCACACACAGAGCTACACACACACACACACACACACACACACCAAGCACAGCTCCATGTACACACAGAGCTATACATACACACACATGTACAGCCACACACACACAGAGCATATTTATATGTACAGAGTGCCAGCACACACACAGCTGCACATACACAGTGAATACCTGCGTGCACACACGCATGTTTATATTATATATGTACATACACATGTATGTACAGCTATATGTACACACATGTATGTATATGTATCTATGTACACGCACATATACATTATGTGCACACATATATACATTTATAAGTACACACACACGTATGTATATACACATCTACATGCACACACACACACACACACACAGTGTCAGCACACACGTAGCTAACACACGGACTCAGCACCAGCACACGTAAAGATACCACCAGTGCGTGGCCACACGCAGCCGTGCAAGTGCGTGCATACAAGCACATATATACACAGCGGCGCCCCACGCTCCCCTGCCACACGTGTACACACAGACACGCGGGTATGCACACGCACACACACACACGCACACACACACACACACACACACAGAGAGACACACACACACACACACACGCACACACACCCCCCCTCCCGAGGTAAAAACACGCATGCAGAGATCCACAGGGACATAGACATGTATGCAAACACACACATAGATTATCATACGTGCAAACACACACACACAATTATCATACATGCACACACACACACACATATTATCATACACGTTATCACACATGCCAACAGACCGATATTTCCAGCACTGAACCATCTTCCCACGTGCACACAGACGCCCCCAACACTCACCCGCACACGTGCAAAGACCCGTGTGCAGGTGCACGTGCAGAGCACTAT